GGTGACAGCAACAGCTGAGGCTGATCCTATCTGAAACAAGGAGTCAAGAATTCCTTCTGGGTCTTACAGGCAGGTGCAGGCTCTCAAGTCCTTGGGATGTCCTTGACTGCTTTCCCAGGCCACAGGCAGGGAGCTGGGTGGGAAACAGGGCCACCAGGGTTAGAACCAGTGCCCATATGGAATCTTGGTGCATTCAAGGCAAGGACAGTTTAGCCGCTAGGCCACCATACTGGGTCTCATAGTTGTCTTTTTTTAAAAGATATGCTGGGGCAGACATGAGCAACACTGGCAGACAGGGTCTGGACCACTGGACTCAAAACTCTATCTACAAGGGAAATTACAGGATGTGTGGTCTGACCTGGGAGTGCCTCTGTCAGAACTGGGTCTCCTTGGTTGTTGAGACCTGTGCAGTGGACAGCATGCCCAGATGCACATGGGGGACATGATAACCAGTTCACTGAGGCTTGCAAAGGACATCTAGTATTAGGGAGGGTAGAATAGACTGTACAGCTCTCCTAGCCAAACTTTGACAGCAAACATCTAGGTGAATTGAGACTCTAAGGTTGACTGTGTTAGCCAATGGACCTTAGAAGGGTTTCCTCATCCTTGGAACAACAAAATCAACAGCATCTCAGAACTACGAGGACCACTTTAACGGTGCCCTCAGAGTATGCTCCGCATCAGGGACCTTGGCATGGTATTGGGTAGCTGTGCCCCATCCCAGGGTGCTGAGGTGGTTGGGCTGCTGGAGGCAGCCCGCTCCCTATTTCTCCGTTTCCCCAGAATACATTAGAAAAAGGAGATTGGAAACTATTGTCTCACCCAATTTCCTCCATTTTTTCACCCTCCCATCTCTAAAGAGTGTTCCACATGGGCATACATCCCTAACTATGTAAACATCATCAAAAATAAATTTATACTAAAGAAAATGCATCCTGTTCCCATTCCAGCACTTTATACCTCATAAGAAGCTTGTGGCTGGGGACCCACAATAGGTGACTTAAAGATTTATCTTTCTGATGCATAAAGTCCAAAACCCTCTAACGATAACACTAAATATCCATGCTCAGGGGAACATGGAATGCATGTAACATACAGGATAATTTAGTGAACATGTGTGCCTGCTCCTTGTAATTAGGACAAGTCTTCCCAGAACAGCTTCAAAATTTGACAAATACATGTGATTTTCCTAAAGGAAACTCTAGCACTAGCAACCCTTTACACAGGGAGCTAGGTTTTATATAACAAGATTAATTTATTTTCTGGCTTGTGGAACCCATCAAAACTCCTCCTTGCTGACAGCTGAAATAATTATTTTCAAGGGCATACCCGGAGAGCCTTCAGGTGTTCTGTCTCACTACAAAGCTGCTTTCTATTCCCTGTGTATATCTGCAGAAAAATTTAGCTATTGCTTTAAAACAAATTTTAAGATATACTTCTAGGGCCCGGAGGCATGGTCTAGCAGCTAAAGTCCTCGCCTTGACCGTGCCGGGATCCCATATGGGTGCTGGTTCTAATCCTGGCAGCTCTACTTCCCATCCAGCTCCCTGCTTGTGGCCTGGGAAAGCAGTCGAGGACGGCCCAAAGCCTTGGGACCCTGCACCTGTGTGGGAGACCTGGCGTAGGTTCCTGGCTCCTGGCTTCAGATCGGCGGCTGCTTGGGGAGTGAATTATTGGATGAAAGATCTTCCTCTCTGTCTCTCCTCCTCTCTGTAATTCTGACTTTGTAATAAAAACAAATAAATCTTAAAAATATATATATATACCTCTGGAAATTAAGTTATTTATAATTATTAAAATGCAAGATGAAATATTTCAGTTACAAATTTAATATCAAGAGGTATATGGTTTATAAAAGTGTTTTAAGTGGAACACAAACATAAAACATATTTTAAAAAATATTTATTTATTTTTAAATTGTTTCTCAGCCTTTTGGCTAAGATCAAGTGTAAAAATATTTATTTATTTATTTAAAAGGCAGAGATACAGAGAGAAACAGGGATGGGGAGAGAGAAAGAGAGTCTGCCAGTGGTTGGGTTACTACCCAAGAGGCTACAGCGGCTGAGTGGGCGTAGGCTCAAGGCAGAAGCCAGGAGCTTCCCCTGGGCTTCCCGACGGATACCCCGGCTCAAGTCCTCTGCTGCTTTCCCAGGCACACTAGCAGGGAGCTGGATTACAAGTGGAGCATCTGGGTAACAACCAGCCCCAGATGGGATGCTGGTGTACAGGTTACCTGCTAAACTACAGCGCTAGCCCCACATCAAATGTCTTAAGATCACAGGAACAATTAAACTTATACTTCTCTAAATCTTGTCTTTAAAATTTGGATGGTTAATCGATTTGAATAATTCAGATGTTCAGACTCTCTAGAAGCGGATTAGTATTAAAAGAATTTTGTTCTAAAATACTTGACCAAATATGGTACTCATTTCACAAATAAAAAAATGGTTTGTGATAAAAGGAATCATAAGATAAAAAATATCAAATCAATTTGTGATTCTCTAGTAACAATCATAATCATGGCACATGTCTGAATCAGAAAAGGTTTAACTGATTAACATAATGAATACAATTTCTTTTCATTACATTATTTCCTGGGACAAACCATAAAATTGTAATTGTAAAAAAATAGTGCATTTTCCTTTTCTTCTCATATGCTAATCATCAAAAGCTAATTACTAATCTCGTGGCTCATCAAAACATTTGCTGAAGCAGATGCAGAGCTAATATTTCAGGAGCTGACTGCAGGGAGACGGCTGCAACAGAAGCCTTCAGATACGGGAAGAATTCACAATCAGAAACCAACCCCCCACCAGTCAAAATTCTTATTAAAAAAATCTTCAGCATAAGTGGTGTCAACACAGACCCCAGAAACCTGGTGACAACCTCCCCCAACTCCCTTTCCCCACTTCCTGCCAACCTGCAAATTGGGAATTTGTAATTCTGCCTTTCCAAGAGCATATTTGGCACTAAAGAAGTTCACTCCTCTCTCAAGTTGCCTCTTGAATAATCCCGTTCACTGACTGACTCCTGAAAACTGAGCCCCCAAGAGAGCGTCAAGTGCCAATGTTAGATACCACCGGGTCCCAGTACCTCATCCCTCAGTGTCCTTACCTAGCCTATCCCCAGCACTGAAATTAACTTAATGAATCAAGAGAAGGTTCCAATCACCAGATTCCTGAGGTTAAACCTTGAGGAATGGTAATACCTTTTGGGGTTTTGTTTAGGAGACTTTCAGGTCCAGGCAGAGGAATTCTAGAAGCAGGGCAGAAAGTACTGGTGTCCATTTGGCCATCATAAAATTTCCCTGGAACACAGAGCACCGCTTGCTGACCAAACAGGAACCTAGCCTTCAACTGACTGTGAGACCAGACTGAGTGGCCACCATGACTCCACCCAGTCCCTTGTCACGTGGCTCTCCACTCATTCCTGACTCCCTCCCTTCCTTGTAGCCTCCTGAAAATCCCCAGGGCGCCCTCAATCAGCAGAACAGGAGCTCTTGCGATACAAAGCCCTGCCACCTCCTCACTTGTTGGTAGGTTAAATTTTCTCTTTCCTTTGCCCTCAAATCCAGTTCTCATTATTTGTATTTGACACTGGGAACAGGGCCAAACTTTGAGTAACATCACCTCTGGTGTACTGGTAGCCCCATGTCAGGCAGCCTAGACCCAAGTTAAAAAAGTAAGAGCCAGTATTACAGAAACTGTGAGAAGGTGTTTCCTTTACCGAGACACATAGTCACATGAAAATGCCTAGATGGCAATAAAGTTACAGGCTTCATTTATCAACAGTACTCTAACTGCAGGACCTGCATAAAAAGAGTTTCTGCTGAACTAAATATCAAGGTTTAGTTCAAGGTTTACCAGAACAAGGCTGAAATTTTTCATGGCCATCATACATATTTCGGCAAGCTGGCTAGTAAGGTTGTAAAAATACAGCCTCTGGACACACACACACACAGGTGGGGCGGGGCGGGTAGGGCTGGCACCGTGCCACAGCAGGCTAAGCCTCTCTGCCCATGGTGCTGCTGGCATTTCACAGGGACAATGCTTTGAGTCCCAGCTGCTTCTGTTCCCATCCAGCTCCCTGCTAATGAGCCAGGGAAGCAGCAGAAAACGGCCCCAGTGCTTGGGGCCCACAGTCCCATCCCAGCTCTGCCCGCTGTGACCATCTGGGGAGTGAACCAGCTGATGGAAGATTTCTCAGTCTCTCCTCTGCCTGTAATTCAGCCTTTCCAGTAAGACAGAAAATAAATCTTATAAAAAAAAATCATAGAGAAAAACTTTCCTAAAGTATTTTAGAAATTACTGAAACCATTTCAATTAAAGTTTTTTGCTACTTCCAGGTAAGGAAGAGTATCATCTAGGAGGCGGGTTTGTATTGATGGAGTGGACTTCAGTTAAACGAAGGATGATGGATGATTGACAGCTCTTGGGAAACAGTTAAAAATTCAGAAGGAGTGACTGCATGTGGCTCAGAACTTAAAAGCTTTTTTCTTTTCTCAACAGAAGAGTAGTTTGAAGTAATAACAGGTTGCCATGGAGATGAGAAACTAGAGGGATCAGAGAACTCAATTTGCAGTTAAATGGGCTGGAAACAATCCTTACTACTCGGTAAGGAAAAAGATTAAAAATACACTTGATTGCCACAGGGAATCTTTTTCACCTTGCTATTCCCAACCTCATTAATGAATAAAGAAGTATTAAGAAAAAAAAAAAAAAGAAAGAAAGCCCAAGGTATAGCCACAGATTGAGCCAATTAAAAATAATTCAAGATTTGAAACATTATCACACATTCTTCCTATTCTAGGTAACGTGTTTCTTTGAAATGGTACCTGCCAGTAAATATTAGCATCAGACCAAAAGCAGAAACAAATTAGTATAACTGAAAAAAAAAAAAAAAAAAGGAACATCAGTGGACAAAAAAGTACAACAAATAGAAAAATGACCAGAGCAAGAAACAGATTCAGGTTTGAAAACTCACAGTCCATCACAAAATACCTTTGTGAGTGCTGTAGAGGGCTGCGAAGGTCACGGTGAAGAAAGTGGTAGAGTATTTGCCTGCGTTGACTAAATGGGGAAAGGCCCTTTTCGTGTCCCGGTACCTGCGCAGGCACTGGATGAAGCGAAGCCACGCAGGAACGCACTGGACAATGGCTCGCACCCCGTAGGTGTATTTGTGGCAAACTTCTGTTTCTGTGAGGACATCAAAGCAAAAGAATTAGTTAAAAAAAAAAAAAAAAAAAACATGAACTTGCTCATATAATTTAGCCACAGTGGAACTATCAGCAAGTCCATAAAAGCCAAAGGCCTCTTTGGCAATCATTTTGTTTCCAAGCTTCTGGCAGTAGATAAGTCAAAGAGAGAAGGCAGCCAATCAGCGATCATGTTCTTTGGAGTATGCTAAAACCACGAGAATTAGAAAAACAAAGAGGGACACAAGTGTTGTCTGTGATTAGAAATATCTGTAAAACCTGTCCTTATCACAGGCAACTCAAGACAATCTCAGAAGCTCCAAGACACTGTAACATTGCACTTGTGTTCTTTTATTTTAAACTAAGAACAGACTTTGTATTTCATAATAAGAACAGAGCTGGCAAACCAATTTTTTCTTTGAATTCTGGTTATGTTCTATAACGTAACTAACCTACAACAGACAATCAATAAAACTATGCTGGCAATGGGTTTATCATTGACTTTGGTAACTCAAGTTTTGCATGATTCAGCTAAATTAGGTCTTTGTCATGATGGCAACTTGGCACTGGGACACTCAAGAAAAACAAGAATGAAAAAAAAATAACTATACTGACTTTCTCATAGCACTTCATTTAATTCTAATTAGTAATTTAATTCTAATTCTAATTCTAATGTTTTGGTAACTAAATAACATTATAGAGCAATACTGTGATAACAAAATGTTGGAATAAAAAGCATTTGTGATCTAATTACCAACTTAAAAATAGTTCTAGCATTCTTTAAACCTAAGTTATAAACTTCTTGGCAAATGAATGGCTAAAGTCATAACATGATTTAAAAGCCAAATTATTTCGGATACAAAGATTTGTAACACACTGCCAGTAATATTTAGAAACGTATAAATGTTACTGAATGAGTTTTCATCACGACCTTAACTTCCTCAGTTACCATTTGCAATATTTCTTGGTTTATAATGACAATTCAGGTCTGTGGATGCCAATTTGTATCTTACCTTTTGTAATATTTGGCAACAGTCCTGTACTCTTATCCCACTTGAGTTCAAAACTATAGAAGCAGATCATATATTCCAGGTCCATCAGTATGACTGACAGGCTATTCAGCTGATCAGCCAGCCAGAAGTCAGCAAAGCCTACTTTATGGAAGGGGGCAGTAAATACGCGAAACTGAGAGGGAAAGAAAGAAAAAAATGGGTCAACTTAGAAAAGTCAAATTCAATTTTGCTAATTTGAGTCTCAGAATTCAGCATGATTCCTTCAAGTTGATAAAACAGAAACTAATGAATCAATCATAGACCATGACAGGGATCTGCCAACAGCGGTTGGTTGCCAACTAGTACTATAATGTTTGGAATGGGTAACTAAGAAAAGTGACAATGTAAAAAAAGGAGAAAAACAGTGAAGGGAAAGAGAAGGCAGAAATAGCCATAATTAAAAATCGAAAAGCAAACAAGTAGGCAGAGTTTAAGACAAAAGCAAAGAGTGGTGGAAGGGACAAGTAATGAGAGAAAGCCCAACATTTAAGTTCTTAGGAAATGTTCTCTAGAATCATTTCTAGAATGTTATCCCATTTTAGCTAAGGAAATACAAAACATCCTTGCCTACAAACAAGGAGGAAATGGCATACTATCTGAGGCATTTACCTGGTTCTCTAACCAAGCTACTTTGATTTTACCAATGCCATGGTGATGACTACACTCATCACAAAACGGAACCATAAAAATCAGCCCTCTTCCTATTGTTCTGAAAACAATGCTAAATATTTCATGGCTGAGTGCATTATGCATTAACACATGGATCTCATTTCCCTCACTTACTATGTACACATTAATTCAATCCCTGTAACAATTGTATGAACTAGATATTATACAAATATATTGCCATTTTATAGAAAACCTGAACAAACTCACCCCAGTATAAACCTGTGGGACCCTGTTCAAGACTGCAGATGAAAACCCTGGCACTGTACAGAGGGAAGACACAGATATTAACAATGATCAGAAATAGGTTCAAGTTTATGCAAACTCTTTGGACAAGACTTTGCGTGAAGCAAGGATGGATGAAGGCAGCTCTAATCCTCCTCCTCTCACCTCCCTTCTGTCTTGCACAGGACAAAACAGGACCCTGAAACAAGAAACTGACTAACCAACAGATCCGAGAAAATGAATCACAATGTCTAGTCTAGTCTCTCAGCCATCTGAAAATACTAACTAGACATATTCAACTTGAGGCTATGGTTCTCTCCTACCTGTGGCTAGTTCCTTGCATTCTTTCTCTAAATATTTCCCATATTTCAGGCATATAAATAGCTATATTATGTACCAACTATTTATGACTGATATTATTTTCAAACACTGGAAGGTAGATCAGTGCCTGCAAGATAGAATCAAAGTGTTGAGCAATTTTCTAAATCTGATATATTTTGGCTCCATGGCTCAGTCTCCTGGTCAGTGCCAGAACTGAAGTCCAACAAATCCGACAAGCTGTATCTTTGGGAACTACAAGCAGAAATCTGGTTGGGCTGCTAGTTACTCAAGCACAAGGAGGTTCTGACAAACCTCTAATATTTTAACAAGCTCTAGGATGCAGCAGACTTAAAGCATTCATGGAGATGAGAGGGCAATTTGGAATATAATACTAAAGGAACGGACAGGAACTCTGAGTCTCTGGCACAGACGTGTGAAGTGGTTAGTCTAGGGCCAATCACTTCTTTTGAACCGATGTGCGACAAGCTATCTTTATTTCTTTATACCGCCAACCTGATACTCAAAGACAGGCTGATACTCGCTAAGAGCTATAAACAACAGATGAAGGGGAACAAGGGCAACGGAAGGCCAGCAATGGGAAAGGGAGTGGCAAGAGAATGGGGCTGAGGGACACACAGAAAGGAGAAAAACAAAGACAAGAAAATCCTGTTATGTGTAACACCAAGGTTCTTCTCAAAATTCCTGGAACATGGAATACAAAGGCAGAGCTGTCTCCTGAGTGCAACAAATGCTGAAGTTTAGGCATTTTTCCTCTAATTCCTGTTTTCCATAAGCTTTTTGAAAACTAACAAAACAAAGAGCATAATTATACTCAGTCACATATTTAACAAAGATTTCTTATTCAGTATGTATCTGTGAAGGTACAGAAATAAAACATCAGTACTCTGCAAGACATTCATTAGCCTGGCAAATAAACAGCTGAAGATGTGATTACAATCACATATGGTGTCATAGGGGTGCATACATCTTGGAAATACAGAGAAGGAACAAAGTAGCTTTATCCGAGGCAGAACAAGAAGCAGAAAATAAACATCATACTTAACTTCCTGACATTTGCACGTGATCAGACTGACTAGATTTATCTAAATCCTGTTAAATAAAAATCCCATTACACACTCTGCTCCTAGTTTTATTCAGGCTAATATCTTTTAAACTGTACATTTTTCTACCTTGTACTTTTGATTAAAATGATAATAACTCCTGGAGTAACAGTACTGTAACAACTACAATTGCAGGATATCTGATGTTTTACTACACACTCAGAACAAGCCCCTACTGTATTACTGCTGGGTTTTCTTTTCTGAATACTTCATTTACTTGAAAGGCAGACACACAGAGCAAAAAATCCATCATCCATTGGCTCACTCCCCAAATACCCACCATGGCTGAAACCTGGAGCCCGGAACTCAATCAGGTCTCCAATGTGAGTGGCAGGAAACCAAGCATTGAGCCATCATCTGCTGCCTCTGGGAGTGTGCATCAACAGGAAGTTGGACCAGCAGGTGGAGCTGGGACTCATCCCAGGCACTCTGATGTGGGACATGGGCATGCCAGTTGGCACCTTCACTGCTGTGCCACACGCCTGTCCCTGTATTCCATACAGCCTCGTGCACCTAAATCCTAAATGCAAAGTTCCTTCATGATTCACATATCCCTCATCTACAGAGTCTGGAGGTAATTTTACATAACAGTTCCAGTGAACCTCTGTTTTGATTGGGACCCATCACTTTAGGTGAGATACGCAATTTCAACTGTGGTGCCAAATTAGCACTCAAAAATCCGAGGATTTGGGGCCTGGCGCGGGAGCCTTGTGGCTGAAGTCCTCACATGGCATGCACCAGGATCCCATGTGGGCACCAGTTCTAATCCAGGCAGCTCTGCCTCGCATCCAGCTCACTGCTTGTGGCCTGGGAAAGCAGTCGAGGATGGCCCAAAGCCGTGGGACCCCACACCCGTGTGGGAGAACCTGAAGAGCCTAATGGGTCCTGGCTTTGGATTGGCTCAGCTCCAGCTGTTCTGGTTCCTTAGGGAGTGAGTCATTGGATGGAAAATCTTTTTCTCTGCCTCTCCTCCTCTTTGTATACCCGACTTTCCAGTTAAAATAAAATAAATTAAAAAAAAAAAAACACACACACACAACTGGGGGATTTTGAGCAATTAGAGATGCTAGATCTGCACAAAGAACATGCTAACATTATCTTCTAAATTAATATGAACAGCTAAAAAGATGGAGTTTTAAATTCTGCTTAGAAGTTTACAAATACACACTTTCTTTCCAAATTTGATTTTTATGTACCACGATATTGGTACACAGCATCAAAGTTCGAGGTTTACTTAGATGAAGTGCTTAACAGGTCTAAGTACTAAATGCAAGTATTAGAGTCCAGATTGTGGAGCCAGGCAGCCTGTGTTCACAGCTCTGCAGCTTACCGGAGCACGATCCTACCAAGTTACTTAACTCCTCCGAAGGCAGATTTCCTCATTCATAACATGAAGGTTAAAAGAAGGTCCAATATTGTGAGTCGTTTAAAAATTAACTACAAAGTGTATTGGTAAAATCAGAAAATGTCTCTATACATTTTTGGTTTCTGCCTAAAGATTTATTTGAAAGACAATAAAGGAGAGACACAGAACTCTTTCATATACTTGTTTACTCCTCAGATAGCTACGAGAGCTAGGTCTGGGCCTGGGCCAGCCCAAAGCTGGAACCGGAAATTCCATCCTAGTCTCCCATATGCAGGCCACCTGTAACGCATTCCCAGACACATTATTCAGATGCTGGGCTGGAAGCAGAGCGGCCTGGACTCAACCTGGTACTTCATCCGGGGTGTGGCAGTGGCAAGCAGTGGCTTAAACAAGTGTGCCAACAGGCTGGCCTTACCTCCTCTGTGTTCTTACAACACAAAGTACATACAAACGTTTTGCTACAGAAATAAAGAAAACACTGGGTAAACACTGGTTCCTAAATTACTTAGTGAAGGATTCTAAATTTTAAAATTAATCTATTATTTTTTAGAATAAGCTTTAAAATTTTTTACTAGAAAATCTGAGGCACTTTTTATTCTTCCTGTCTGGATTTTCAACTGAGGCAGACACAGATTTGGTAAAATGGACAATGACTTAATGAATGCAAATAAGCTGCATTAATCTGACACAAATATGCATATCAAAACAAATCAGCTTTCACAAAAATGACTGTGTTCTTGCTTAAGAAGAGAAAGCTTGTGTCAATTCAATAGATTTCAGTGTAAATATGAATATCAATAGTCTTCAGTGCCGATCCCCATGACCAACGACTTCCATGCTTTCCCTACTAAAAGCTTGGGGGGTGTGAGGAGGAAGGGAAGGGTAGCAGCTGGGGTGAAAAGGAGGAAATACTGTTTTATGTGAGGATGAGGCTCTTAAAAACTGTACCAGAGGGGATGGTGTTTAACTTAGCAATTAAAATGCTCATGCTCTATACTAGAGTACCAAGGTGTAAATCCTGGCTCCAGTTTCCTGCAAAGCAGGTCGGGGAGGCGGCAGGGATGATTGAAGCAACTGAGTTCCTGCCTCCACGTGAGGGACCAGGACTGTGTTTTTGGTTCCTTCCAGATTCTGACCAGTTGGCGAGTGTCATATCTCTGCCTGCCTGTCTCTCTCGCGCTCTCTCTCTCTCTCTCTCTCTCTCTCTCTCTCTCTCTCTCTCACACACACACACACACACACCCCTCTCACATATATAAACACAACTGGAGAATCTTAACAAGTGAAAACACTCTTAATTCACTAGAAATAAATCCAAGGGTGAGATTGGAATTTAAACAAACCAACAACAGATTAACAAATACTAAATAATCTATAAGTGATAACATTCTCTTGTTTATAGCTACTATTACAAAAATAACAATACAGTGCTTCTTTACTCCTTCTAACAGAGTACTTCATTATTCTGTTATTCTGGCCTGTATGAACCTGCCAGCCTACTCCATTAGCAAGTGCTCACCTATTAACAAACACAGAGTAGTCGAAGAGACACACTTCTCAACAGGGAATCATTCTGCTACTAAGAGCGACCGATCACGCATGAATCAAACTTGCGATCTGAACAGAGAAGGATGCAGCAGCATACACTGCATACAGCTGTATATCCTGCAGTGTGATGTCACAGCAGTATACGGGTTTGCTCCTCAGTCTTCTAAAATCTGCTTTAAAAATAACTTGTACATGTGTTTCACAATAATCGTAGCAGGAAACAAGTGTTTGTTAAACATTATTTCCTTCGGCTCTGATGATTACTATCTTTTTCTTGCAAATAACACAGTTATAAAATAAATACAGTAAGAAAATCTCAGCGATCTTCTACCAAATGAGCTGGCAATGCTTTATTTTTAGTCTAAAAATCAAGAGAGAAGAAACAATGGCTTGAGTTTTTTTCCTTCTGTCTTCAAAAATAACCTTCTACTAAAAAATATGCTTGATAGATGACAAAAGGTATTAATATCAACAAGAACCTTACGATGGATGAAAACACTGTTCATTTAAGTTCACAAGTCAAACCCAAGGTTGGGCCTAGCAGTGCCGACACTTACAGGGAACGATACAGCGTTTTCTTTTGTCTTGTTTTGTTTTCTCTCTCCCAAACGAAATTAGTGGAAAACAGGAAGAGATTTAATTTTCAGTAAAAATTCTGGTGAAATACTCGCAAGAAATCCAAGCCAGGGCTGGCTTTGTGGCGCAGTGAGCAAAGCACTGCCAGCAACACAGACATCTCGTGTGGGCACAGGTTCGAGTCCCGGCTACTCCACGTCCCATCCCGCTTCCCACTGAACTGTCTGGGAGATCATCAGAACACTGAGGCCCCTGCACCACCTGGGCCACCCAGATGGCACTGGCATTCAGTCCGGCCCAGTGCTATCTGTTACAGCAATCTGGGGAGTGATCAAGTAAATGGAAGGTCTGTGTGTGTGTGTGTGTGTGTGTGTGTGTGTGTGTGTGTGTGCACGCTTCTCCCACTCACTTATAACTGTGACTTCCAAAACAAATTTTCAAACAGAAAAAAATATACATACCAAATTTAAGAAAGAACTGTCATGGAAATCTGGGTCTTTCTCTTTTTAAGCTTTATTCACTTATCTTCATTTATTAGAGAGCAAGAAGAATACACAGAGAGGATGCTCAATCTCCCAGGTGCCAGTTTATTCCCCACAAGTTGCCAACAGACAGAGGTAGGGCAGGTGAAAGCCAGGAGGCCGGAACTCCATCTGGGTCTCCTATAAGCAACACCCAGGGTGGAAGTACTGGACCCATCCTATGATGCCTTGCAGGAGCCGCATCAGCAGGAAGCCAGATGGGAAGCTGCAGGAGCAGGACCAGCACTGGCCGGTGAAGCAAGCGGGGGCTGAATCTGCAATGCCACAACACCTACCTCTATTTTCTTTTCCTGATTGTACAATGCTAACCTGCACTGGAACACAATTGCCTGCTATTTGTTGAGTGTTTTCTTTACTAGGGAAGCACATGTGCAATCTTTAACTTAAAATTTAATCATGTATCACTAAAAACAAAACAAAATCCGCTAACCTTCAGGGATATACAAAAGGACAAAGAAATAAACCTACATTTTCAAGGAGGTATATTTACAGGGTGGAGGGTTAAAAAAGAGAAAATAATTGTGGCAACTCCGCAAAGTTGGTATGGACACTGAACAATGTGATTAGGCATCTTTACCATTAACTGTAATTCACAATCTTAGTATTCTATAAATGCAATCTCAATTTCTGAATCAGAACTGGCTTCCCTGGGGACCAAGCAGAAACGCCTCCTTGAGCAATCAGCAGGTGCAGTGAAGCAGCCGCCTGGGAGGCTGGATCCCCAGCAGTCCTGGCTGCTCCACTTCCGACCTAGCTCCCTGGAAAGCAGTGGAAGATGGCTGGGCCCTGCAACTCACCTGGTAGATCTGCATAAACACCTGCCCCAATTCAAACTGCCTTCGTCATCTGCAAAGTGATCTGGCAGATGGAAAAGTCCCTCCTTCCCTTCCTTCCTTCCTGCCTGCCTCCTTTTTTCTCTCTTTCTTCCGCCATCTTCCTCTCCATCTCCCTCTCCCTTTTCTTTCTCTCTTTGTTACTGTGCCCTTCAAACCAAAATCTTATTTAAAAATTCAAAAAAGGACCCAGTGCAATAGCCTAATGACTAAATCTTGACATTGAAACCACTAGGATTACCATATGCCCGCCAGTTTGTATCCTGGCTAGCATACTTCCCACCCAGCTCCCTCCTTCTGGCCTGGAAAGGCAGCAGAGGACAGCCTAAAGCCTTGAGACCCTGCACCCACATGAGAGAACTGGGGGAAGCTCCTGGCTCCTGGCGTCACATCTGCTCAGCTCTAGCTGCTTTGGCCACCTGGGGAATAAACCACCAGATAAAAAAACTTTTTTCTGTCTCTTCTTCTCTTTGCCAATCTGGTTTTTTTCCAATAAAAATAAATCTTTAAAAAAATCACTAAAAATGATTATCATTTTCCCAGGAAATGCTGTATCCTATTGCCAAGCCTGAATAATTTTAAGATCGTGAACAAGTGAAAGAAGAAAGTGAATTTACTAACAGCAAGAATCAAAGCTTTTTAAATTAAACTCGGCCGTTTGGCAAAACACTCCCACCTCTTTCAGAGAACCGACCATCTTAGCATCAATTTAGCAGCAAAGTAGAAATAGCTTCATTCCTTTTTTTAAAAAAAGGACACTCAAAAATTTTTCTGCATTATCATAGCCAGTTAAATAACTGGCATAATGGTAAAACAATTTATAAGTTTTTTTTTTCAATTTTTAGCCACGTCGTACTCCATTTGGAGCACTTCCCAGGCCGGTACGTTGCACGGTCTCGGGCGAGCCCTCCCGGCGCCTGGAGCTCCATGGGAACAGGCCCCGCCCCGCGCCTGGAGCTCCATGGGAACAGGGCCTGTGTACATCAGCAACCTGGGCTTCACTCAGGAGGACAAATGACAACACAGTCCAAATCACCACCCAAGCGCCTCAACTTACCAGCAATTTCAGCAGCCAAAACCGAGATTTATAATAAAAAGTTTTGGTGGGGTTGATTAGAAAGAAAAACATAAATCCATAAAGGGCAAGTGGATACACGTATGTGGGGATGACGCTTATTGGAGCGAAGAAACACGCCAGCAGGCTCAGGCACCACAGTATCCCCAGGAATCCAGCAATCTGGAGAGGGTGGAGGAGACAAAAGCGAACCAAATGTTACCTTTATCATTAATCAGAAACATCCTTAATAAAGCAAACTGATTGTTAAGCCAACAGTCATCTTCAAGTAAAAGCTGCATTCCAGCGCTCAGGGAGTCCCTGCGCAGTTAATACACACGATATTCACAAGAAGCTAGTCTTGTTTTGATTACCTCGAAGAGATGCTGATGAGACAGGTTGCTCCTCGGGTTCAGTTCAAAGATGAGCACATGATTGACTCCAGCCTGTCTCCAACCGTACGTGTTGATGCCCAGTAGGAAAAGGAATTCAATCAGAAGAAAGCCGCCCCGATATATCCTTATCAAGGGCCAGATCATTCTATCTGTTTCAAGTTTAAATACAGCTGAAAGAAAATTAATTGGTTAGTTACAAAATCTACAAGGTCTCCTTAGCTATCTTTTCTCAATGATATAATCCTAGCGAGGAAGTTTTGGTGGTTTTTTATTGCAAAGTCATGTTTACAGAGAGGAGGAGAAAGAAAGAGAAAGATCTTCCAGTCACTGGTTCACTCCCCACATGGCCACAATGCCTGGAGCTGAGCACATCCAAAGCCAAGGGCCAGAAACTTCTTCTGGGTCTCCTCTGCAGGTACAGGGTGCCAAGGTTTTGGGCCATCCTCGACTGCCTCCCCAGGATACAAGCAGGGAGCTGGAATGGAAGTGGGGCAGCCAGGATTAGAACTGGTGCCCAGACGGGATCCCAGCACAAGCCAAGCGAGGATTTTAGCCACTAGGCTACTGAGCCAGGCCCAGGAAGTTTTTTCATAAGCAAAACCTACACAGAGATTATTTCAACAGCCTGATAAACTTAACTTCAGGTTCTTTCCTTTATTCATTCCACTAGAATAGTTCTCCTAAAATGTAGCTTTAACATAACTTTTAGTATGTCATTCCATTCATTACTTACATAATATACGAATGCCTTGGCAAAATGATTCAGAACGCAAAAATCAGCCTGCCAGCAGGGGAATTCCATCATGACACTTCGGCTTTGCTTTCTTCACAATCAGACTAAATAAAGTAATACTGAGGGCCAGGCATGGTAGCCTAGCGGTAAAGTCCCCGCCTTGCATCCACCAGAATCCCATATGGGCGCCGGTTCTAATCCCAGTAGCACCACTTCCCACCCAGTTCCCGGCCTGTGGCCTGGGAAAGCAGTTGAGGATAGCCCAAAGCCGTGGGACCCTGCACCCACGTGGGAGACCCAGAAGAAGCTCCTGGCTTTGGATTTGCTCACTTCCAGCTGTTGTGACCACTTGGGGAGTGAATCTGCAGATGGAAGATCTTTTCTCTGTATCTCCTCCTTTTTGTGTATCAGCCTTTCCAATAAAAAAAATTTTTAATTTAAAAATACAGTAATACCTACCCACCTCACATTGGTGCTATGAAAATGAAAAGAAACAACAGCACCCATGAAAGTCATAGAAAAGTTAAATGTTTCATAAATAATGATAGTTGCAGAATATTGTCACTCAGCATTGTCCTGTTATTTTTTATATATAATGCCTTCAGTCATTGAAACAGGACTATTAAAGCTATGCCCACTTGATTCACAAGGAAATCGGAACAGACTGATTCAGTAATTTGCTAAGGGTTACTGGGTTACTGATCACAACCAGTTCTGCTCTAAAATCCACGCCTTTGAGCACACTGGCATTCCATACCCAAGCAAACGTTCAGAATCATTATTATTAAACAGCTGTCTAATAATAATATTCAAATACCTAAGCCTTGATTATCAAGTTCACAATTCAGTCTCTAAGTCACTTTTCTCAAATTTACTCAGTGCCTGTAAGCATTAATTCTCAATTCCTGGTGACTCTTACTGCTTTTCACCTTTTTTTTAATGCTGCTCTTACTCATTGAAATGCCCTGTTCTTTCACTCTACCAACTCCAATTTATTCATTTTTTTAACAGCCAGATCCTTTCCTGCTTATAAGACCACTAAACCAAGTAGCTTGATTTTGAATCTGTTATGTGACTGAGAATTGCGAAATAAGCACCCATCTATGGTTGATTAATTTTTACATAGTGCTGAGAAGATGCAATGCAAAAGAGTATCATCTTCAACAACGGTGCTGGGCTACTGGACAGCCACACGCAAACAACAACAACTGGATGCCCTATAACACATCATTTATAAAGATTAGCTAAAACAGACTGAAGGCCTCCATATATGAACCAAAAGTCTTAGAAAAGAACAGAGTAAATCTTCATGACCTTATATTTAACAATGGATCCTTAGATATGACACCTGACAAGGGCTTACTATCCAGAACAGGTAAAGAAGCCATAGAACTTAATCAACAGACTAACAGGGGGCTGAACATTCTAGAGAGCAGTAGATTAAGCTGCCACCTGCAATGCCGGCATCCCACAAAGACACTGGTTCAGGTCCTAGCAGTTTCTCTTCTAGTCCAGCTCCCTGCTAATGCCCAGGGAAAGCAGCGGAAGTTGGCCCAAGCACTTGGCAGGCATGAATGGGGTTTCTGGCTCCTGCCTTCAGGTGGCTCACTCTTGGCCCCTGCACCCACTGCGGAGTGAACCAGAACACAGATCTCTCTTTCCTTGTCACTCTGCTTTTAAAATAAATCAAATAATTTAAAAGAAGAAGACAACCAATCCTGTTATAGATGGGCAGAGGACTCAGGTAGACATTTTTCCACATAAAATAATAAATGACCAACAAATAAATGTAAAGACACTTAATAAGAACATAGAGAATGTAAGTGTCAAAAACAAAATGTCTCTCATACTCACGTCAATAAGTTAAAAAAAAACAGGAAAACAAAGAACTTGGAAAATAACAAGTTTTGGACAGAATTTGCAGAAAACCAAACCCTCATTAACTGCTGATGGAAATAGAAAATTGTGCAGCCTCTAGATGGCAATTTCCCAGTAAATTCAATAGGTCCTCAAAGCCATGTAAGTTGTACCACTTACAAAAGCCAGGAGAAAAACAACCCAAATGTTTATCAACTAATCAGACATGCACAAATTCTGGTTTGTACCTAAAACAGAGTATTATTCAGTCATAAAACAAACAAGCAAAGTTAGGAGCTATAATACAGTCTTTAAAAATGCAAAGTAAGCTGGACACAGCACACTGCAGATTACGAGTCCATGTCCATAAGACATTCACAGCGGGTAATTCATAAACACGGGGGGGGACGACTGGAACCAGCCAGCAGCTGGGAGAGACGGACGGGAGCCTGGGGTTTCCTTCTGGAGTGTCAAAGACTCTTGGAAAGTAGAAACAAGTTGCACACTAATAAGAATGTAATAAATGCCAATGATTCAGCCACTCCAAATGGTTCATTTCACATTATGTGAATTTCATCTCACCAAAAGAAATAAACAAACAACTGCAGTGGGAAAATGTAATTAATAGGCCTGAAGATGCTATTACCAATTCCTTTGTTAAGTACATGCTTTACGTTGTTTTACTACAAATAGTGACAGATAAGTTCCGGTCTACCAAAATTTTCTAATTTTGATTATTTAACACCTGTGATTCTGGACAAAAAGAAGATAAACAGCCTGTTCAGCAGTATTCTGTACAAGTGAAGAAAACTGACATGAAAGGGAAAATGTAATATATTTTTAAATGCTTTATTTGAAAGGCAGACTACACAAAGAGGATAAACAAAGACTCTTGCATCCACTGTTTCACTGTCCAAATGGCTATAACAGTTGAAGCTGAGCCAACAGGAAGCGAGGAGCTTCTTGTGGGTCTCTTATGTGAATGCAGGAACCCAAAGACTTGAGCCATTCTGCACTGCTTTCCCAGGCCATAAACAGAGAGCTAGATTTGAAATGGAAAAGCCAGGACCCATAAGGCACATTGGCACTGCAGGCATAGCATAGTATAGCAAAGCACCAGCCTCAAATATGCTGTTTATGAAATCCAAATAAGAACTAGAAAATCCTCAAGGTTTTTAAAATCTATGATCTTCAACAAAATAATATCCTTGAGCTCCACAGTCAGCCAAAAAAGTTGACAGGGCTGGTGTTATGCCACAGTGTTAAACCACTGCTTGGGGTGTCTGTGTCCCGTATCAGAGTGCTGGCCGAGCCCTGGCTAATCTACTTCTAGACCAGCTTCCTGCTAATGCATCCTGGGAAACAGCCGGACAATGGCTCAACATGGGGGACCAAGATGGAGGTCCGGGCTCCTAGATTCCGGCTAACCCAGCCTTGTAGTGGGGATTTAGGGAGTGAGCCAGTAAACACGGGATCCATCACTGAAACAAATTTTATAGATTGACTAGAGATTAAGACATAACAAACCTTGCTGTGCAGAGTCACCGCGAAAAATTGCATTTTCTACTTAGCTTTTTTCTTTTTTAATTTTTTATCTCTATCAGCACTCACACAACTCATTCATTTTCTAATACAAACTTCCTTTTAGCCCAAAATCATGTTTGGGCCAGACTGAAGGCAAGAGCCAGGAAAACCCACCTGGTTTTCTACGTAGGTATTAGGGAACCAGGTACGTAGGTCTCACCTGCTGTTGTCCAGGCACATTAGTAGATACCCAGAGAAGCAGTCACTAGTATTGAACCAGAGGCTCCGACATGGGCCACAGGCATAAGCAGCAGCTTAACCCACTGGGCCACAACGCCAACCCCTACCATAACTTTCAGGTGTTACATACAGAAACTCGGTAAAAGCATAAGCAGTACGATGAGTAGTGATAAAGCAAATCAGCACGTGGAGCAAGAAGGCCAGCATCCAAGAGGCTTCCATGCACTCATTCACTTTATCACTTCTACCACACTTTCACCTGCTATCATACTGTATATTTTTAATAATAGCAAATTCCTAAAAACCAGATACCTACCAATCGTGAATGTTTAGGAAAATTATATTATCTAAATATTTATAATTAAATTACACAGGATAGCATTAACATAATAAAATGAATGATGAGGCACTGCTTGGTAGCCCAGCAACGGGATACCATACCGGTGTTGGTTCTAATCCTGGTTGCCCCCACTTCCCATCCAGCTCCCTGCTTGTGGCCTGGGAAAGCAGTCGAGGACAGTCCAAAACCTTGAGACTCTGCATTCACATGAGAGACCCAGAAGAGGCTCCTGGCACCTGACTTCAGATCGGCTCAGCTCCGGCCATTGTGGCCACTTGGGAAGTGAATCAAAGGATGAAAGATCTTCCTCTCTTTATATTTTATAATATCAAAATCCTAAAAACCATTCAGATACTTACCATATACCTACTTGCTACCCATCCCCTAATGAGAAGCACTACCCAAAAAGCCTTTCCTTCTCTCTGTATATCTGCCTTTCCAATAAAAATAAAATAAATCTTTTTTTTAAAAAGTGA